AAAATGAGCAATTTAGATGGCCGCCAAACGGCGAATGATGACGCTAAACGCGATCTCGTTGTACGACGATCTCGGTGATTCTGAATCGTCGTCAGCAACGAAGCCATCACCAAAAACAGATGGCGAAAAGTCGGAGCCAGATGCAGAAGCATCGAACCGGAAAAGATTACGATCCGAAGAGGGTGATAAAAATTCCCAAGGTGATGAGAAAGATACGATAAAATCGAAGGCCGGGAACGCGGCTGATAAGCAAACTGAAAACAATTCGGGTGTCGGTAGGTGGACAACGTTGCTTCTTCATTATTTCAAAAGGCGTGTTTTGTTTGCATTTTGTTTTGTTGATCAGTATCAAGAATCATCTGCACTCAAAAGAAAACATCCATAAATGATCACATTTTTATACATTTCTGCAATAATTTTATTGATATTTAACATGCCTGTACATAGTAACAGTTATAAAAATGGTGAGAGTCACAGTCGGGAATTGTTCTATAATACATGGATAGTTTTATGTGTGAATGAGGTTTCGTTTCTTCGTAGAGCAGAATTATACTGTCATCAGTGCTGGTGATAAAGTCGGTGATAACAGCAGTGATAATGAATACTTCAAAAGTAGTCTGTCACCAAATGCTTGATTAATCAGCAAAAGTTGAATGAATTCAGGCACGGTGAGTTTGCTGAGTGTATGCGGATGGCGTAAGGGTGAACGTGAAGAAATGCAAGATGCACACGTTCTTGAGGATCACTATGATATAATCACAGGTGATATGTATGTGCTTTTGAATTTATGTAGTGAATTCATTTTTGCTTCATGACACAAATTGTCAAGCAGTTTTTTGAGTCAGTAAAAATAAGTTAAGCATGTGAAACGAGGCACAGTGCGGCAATTCATTGACTGAATTACTGTTAAGGACATCGATAATAACTCATAACCATTATTAATATTATCTGATTGTGTCAGGCGGGTATTTAGGCCCAACGATAACGACTCATAACTATTATTAATCCACTAAATGGCACAGTTATTGACTGAATTATGTTTTAAAATTGCAGCAAGGCATGTGCCCTTTATGGTATATTCGATGGTCATGCCGGTAAGAGAGCCGCACAGTTCAGCTCACAACGAATGCCCACAATTCTTAAGGATAAACTCTCAGCATGTGTGTACTTCAGTTCATTTAAACACATAAATTTTTCACTCTTCTCATTTTTGGTTTCGAATATCACGATTTATATTAAGAATACGGTCACGATTTATTAAGATACGATAATGCATCATGCCATTATCTATTTAATCTGCAACATCAACTCATTACGAGTTTATGCTTCTATTATCACCAATATCATATTCTTCCTTCTTTAACATCCTCCTTTCCGCGCAGCCAACAATAAAAGCGCTGGAAATCGTCTGTTTTTATGGAACGCTAACTTCAACTATTGTTTTGGGAAGCACGGAGGCTTTGGGTTACTCTTCTATATTGCTCAATAACTCAAAAAGAGCCCGGAGATACATTCCGCTTGATCTATTGAACATGAAACCAATGTTCGCTCAGGGTAACTGTTTGGAACAGCCAGCAGTAGTAGAGCGGTAATTTTTCGGGGTCAGCAATAAACAATTGATGTAACCAAATAGGTCCACAGCAATCGGCGTATTAAGCATTCCACAATCGAGCGGTGATGAATGCCCGTTTCCATAAATAATTTGCATAATTAAACATAGCTGAATATCCATCCATTGAAATTACAACGACGATCAACATTTTGCCGATCGCCCAGAGCAATCGGCAAACCAATTGCTCAATGTTCGAATAATTACCATGGTCCTAGCATACCATTAATGATTCAAAGTCACCAACCCAGTATTGTTACAACTTAATTCGGTTGGTTTGCTTCAGGCAAGAACGTCGCTGAATTGGAGAACTCGTTGAAGCGAATCTTTGTGGATGTTTATCGACAGACTGATGAGCAGTTCCTAATGATGGCCCGTAAAGTGTTAGTTGCTGCTCATATTATCGGTTTTATGAACTGGCCTGCTCGCCTAGTCAGCAGGGTGGCGTTAATTGAGGCTAAAACAATGTGCACGGAAGCGCGAGCATTGTGGCCAGCAAAGTGACAAACGTTTGATAGTCTGGCCAATCCAGGTAATGGACTGGATTCGATCGGGGCATTTCTGATGTACTCGATTACAGTATTTATGTTACATTTGCTTGCGGCATTCACCGTTTGTTTGCATACTGACTTTAGGAGACCAACATGGAAAGATGGCACAACTGCAACGACGG